ACGATGCATGCTCTCCTGCCCCTGCTTTGGCTAATGAGGCAGCAGAACCCACAGAGCATGAGAGCACGAACGCCAAACTGGAGGCTGTGGCCTGCGCCTTCACCTTTTTCATTATGTTTTGAGACTGGGCTTTGTTACAGGCTAAGACACGTGAGAAGATCTTTAAAAATACAGATTGATGCCTCCTATTGTTCAGAGAGAGGGGAAAAGAAAGATACTCTCTGCTCTAGCTGCAAGGAGCATCTCTCGGTTGCATAAAGCACGTGCCCGAATTGACTTACCACAATCATTTGCGCCACATAGCTCTCCGGGCCAGTGTATTCGGTTGGATCTTTAACTTTGACAAGAACTATAAAGTACAAATAATGCCACATGTTGTGTTCTGACTTTATGTGCTCCTCAAACGAAACAGTCTTGTTATCAAATTTGTCTCTCTCCAGTCCTGCAAAAAGACATGAACGTAATGAAAAAAAAAAAAAAAATTCAACATAAAAATACCCAAATCTGTTAAATATGTTAGAGAAAGGAACCTAACTTAATTTAAAGGATCATAAATTTGAAGGATCTTAATTTAAAAGCTATAACCGCGTACAGTAACTGCCAGGCAAGAAATACCAGGCCAGAAGGAATTCCTGACAGAATTCTTTCAGCGCAGCGTTTATTCTCTTTTGTGATATTTCCTCTTAATAACAATAACAATGTAATAAATATGTTACAGTTTTACAGTGCCTTCTACGCTGAGGGCTATAAAGTGCTTTACAAGTGTCGGCTCTGATGCTTTCTAAATGTATACCGGTAAGCATGCAGAGTGCAATCTAGGTCCTGATCTTGCAAAGATTTATGCACGTTTAGCGTCAAGCATGTGAACAGTCCCACTTAAGCTGCGGTGGGATTGTTTGCACGCTTAAACCTAGCAGCGAGGGTGAGTCTCCGCAGCTTTGTACTCACACAGCCTTTACAGAGCCGTAGTCATATGAATTTTTTTTTTTTTTTTTTCCCCATGTAACGGGTCAAATCTCCAAAGAAGAACACCACAGAGAGGAAGGACAGGACTCGCAAGTGTTTGCTTCAGCGTTACAGCTTTCCTCCCTGGATCTCTTGCGGAGCCTTCCACAGACACTAAAGCAGTTGTGCTCTGCACAACGTTCATCCCTGCCAGTACAACCATGGAAACAACACCCAGCCTACGAAAAAAGAAGGGTATTTCTAAAGTCCCCTAGGGGAGTAAAGGTCTGCCCCTCTTTGTGAGTGCGCCTCAAAATAAGCGCGACTTATCCGTGGGTTTTGTGGGGATGATTGTCATTTCATTCTTTTGTTCCCTCTTTCGTATCACCTTCTGAAGCAGACGGATTTTGCCGTTGTTACCCTTCTGGAATGCACTGTGCTGTAAAATAGCAAGCTGTACTTTCATCTGCATCACACTTTGCGAAATAAAGCCAGCAGCTGCACCATCTCCATTAGTGGCGAGGATGCGAGCGTGAGACACGGCTCTTCTCCCTCAGATCCTGGGTGGGGACCGTGAAGCCACCTCTTAGCGAAGCTAGCTCTCAACTCCTAAACCAAATATTTTTCCTACTGAGAGGGAGTGAATTTGGAACAAAACTCTTGACATTTTTACCGACTTCCCTTGTAGAAGATAACCACCCCTTAGGCTCATGCTTTATTTATTGAGGCGCAGTTCATTTTACTCCTTTCCCCATCAAATGTCTCAATAGCTCAGTAACACCTACCACAGATGAAACAGGTTGTCTTTAGTATTTCCTCCTTTTTCTGCTTTTCGCTTCTGAGATCAGCAAATGTATCAATGATGACTCCAAAGATTAGGTTTAGAACAATAATTATGACAATGAAGTAAAACAGAAGATCATAAACAACTCGTGCAGCAAACAAGGGCTCCTGAAACAATAATAAGCTTGCAATAAGATATAAAAATAGCATGCCTCTAAAATATTAAACAACATTTTCACATTAGCTCAATAAAGCTATGCATCTCTCTTTTCACATGCCAAATTCTGCTAGCCTTACTCACAGAAACAGAGAGGGACTACCTACGTGACTAAGCACAGACGACTTGGCTTCGGGCGCTTTTATCGCTTTGGGACTCCTGTTGCCCTTCAAGTTGTTTCAGACAGCGCGAAGAAGAGACTAGCGTGTGTGG